GAAGCAATGCCGGGGGGGGGGGGACGAAAGAAGAGGGCCAGAGAGGGGAGCGGCAAAATCGAGGCGCTGCGTACCCTTGGAAGTCTTGGGCGCATTGTCCTCGTCGTCCTCGTCGCTGGCGGTGTCCTGGTCGACGTCATCGTCGTCGGCCTCGGAATCGGAACCGGCCTCCGCCTCAGAGTCGGCATCGGAGTCGGCCCCCTCCTCCTCCTCCTCCTCCTCCTCGGATTCAGAGTCAGACGCCGGGGCGTCCTTCTGGGCGGTAACCGACTTGACCAGCTCATAGTCATCCTTCGGCAGAGAGAAGTCCACGGCCAGGGCACGGGTGTGCAGGCGATGTCCATTGACCACCTTCATGGCCTGTGTGCATGTGTACGCATTGGTGGAGGTGCGGAAACCCGAGAGGCAGGTGAATGGGGGTGGGGGGCACGTCGGGGTTTACGGGGCAGGGGAAGGGCCCGGGAAGATGACAAAGAGGATGGAGCGCGAGGACGTACGGCTGCGGCGTCCTCGTGGGACTTGAAGGACACGAACGCGAAGCCGCGCGACGAACCGTCCGGCTTCAGGGGGAAGTTGATGTCCAGAACCGGGGCAGCGGACAACATGCCAAAGACCCCATGAAGCTCGGCCTCGGTGGTGTCGAAGGACAAGTTGCGCACAATCAGTCGGGTGGCGTTCTCCAGGATCTTCTTCACCTTCTTATTGAGCTTGGAGATCTTCACCGAGGCAGCCGGGGCGGCCACCGCATCGGCCAGCTTCATCGGCTTGGCCGACTTGGCGGAAGTGGCACTGGCCCCGTCGGAGGACGATTCGCCCGAGGCGCCATCCTTGTCCTTGGAGAAACGCACGAAGAGCTTGCGACCGTTGAGCTCCTTGCTGTCGAGCTCCTTTCGAGCGGTGACGGCATCCTCCAAAATGACACTGCAAAGGAGGTGAGGGACGCAAATCGAGGCCAGGAAAAGGGGGGTCAGGGTGAGCTCTCCAATGGTGGCAGCAATCACAGAGCGGCAACAACGGCAGCAATTGCAACAGCACTGGTAGCAGCAGCAGCAGCACCAGTAGCAGCAGCAGCAGCAGCAGCAGCAATGGCGAAGATACAGGCGGAAGGGAAGCGGACACGCACTATTGGACATAGCCGAAGCCACGGTTCTCGGACGGGTTCTTGGGGTTGGCCACAACGAAGGCCCACTTGATGGGGCCAAGCTCGCCGAAGAAGTCCTCCAGCTACACGCGGCGGCGCATGGGGAGGAGCGACCAAAGGGTGAGTGACCGGGCGAGGAGGAGAGGGAGGGGAGGGAGGGGAGGGAGGGGAGGGCTGCAGGAGGGTAAACGCACATCCTTGTTGGTGGTGGAGAAGCTCAGGTTTCGAATGAAGAGAGTCGAGCTGGAGATCTGGGCCTTGGTGGGGGGCGGCTGAGCCGGGCCCTTGGGCGCATCCTTGGGCTTCTGCTTCTTGGGCTGCTTCTCCGCACGGACGGACGCCTTGCCGGCCATCTTGGCCTCCTTCAGGGGAGTCTTGGTCGGCTTGGAGTCGGGCTTGGCGGCCTTGGGCTTGGCGGCCTTGGGCTTGGCGGCCTTGGGCTCGGACTCGGACTCCGGCTTGGCCTTGCCCTCCGCCTTGGAGGTGATCTCGTCCACGCGCTGCTGCAGGCGCCGGGCGTTCTTGCGGTTGCCCTGCGCCACCGGGCGGTGGGTCAGGGCAGCTGAGGCCAGAGCGGCGGTCTCGGTGAGCTCGGCCAGGTCAGAGGCGCTGAACTTCGCACCAGTGTCCTTGACCTGGGCGGGCTTGGACTTGGGGACGGCCATGGCGGTCAGGGGGGGGGGGGGGGGGGGGG